AAAGTTACGTTTTTTTAAACTTCCCGTAGGATAAGTTATTGTAATGGGCCGAAAATCAAAATTGAACATTTTTACATTTTTCGACGTTTTGAAGGTTTCTGAACATTTTGGCATACCTCAGAAAAATGGGTGTGTGTGTGTATGTGTGGATACAATTTTTCGTCCACGTTTTCGGGCGCAAGAATCAACCGATTTGAATGGTTCAAAAAAACATTCGATTCCTATTGATAGGGAGGTGTGCTGGTTAGTTTTTGGCAAAGGCAGGTCCAGCAGTTACGGAGATAAAGAGCAAAGAGTGCATAAAATAGAAATCGAGTTTTTGAGAGTACGGAGCATTCGATTTGAATGATCTAAAAAACATTCGATAAGTAATTATTGGTAGAAAAGGCTATTATTTTTTGGCAAAGGCAGGCCTAGCCATTTCGAAGTTACGGAGCTAAATGTGTAAAAAATGGCAGTTTTTGAGAGAACTAAGCGTCAGATTTTAATGATTCAAAGAACTTTCTGCTTCCAAAATAATTGATTTTGGAAAAAAAAAATTGTTACAACTTTTTTTTTTCAAGAAAAAAATTTTTTGTATATCGAAAATAATTTAGATTTTAATTGTAATTCTGACTTAAGTTCTAATATACTTTAAACAAATAATTTCACCTTTGCAATTCAGTTTATATAATTTTTATAAATATTAGACAATGTTACAGTATTAATAATAATCTATTTGAAAACATTCAGTATTCCTCGAACATTTCGCTGCGGTACGGGAAGTTCCAGCAATTTGCCTTAAGGCACGATGCCATACACCCCACTAGTTAATCCACCAAACTGTTTATATTAAAGTTAATTCTAGATAAAATACGACTAATTTCAATTTTTGCTGCAAATGGCTCTTATACAGTGGAGTAGTGTTGAAGTCGCTGGCTCCCCGTCTAGTCCAATACAAATTCGCGTTTATATAAATCTCTTCTCCGACTGATGTGTCGAAGTTTGTTTGCTCTAACCGCACTTCCCAAAGGCGGATCTCTCTCTCTTGTCTTGTCTATGTCATTTGATTTAAGTTGCAATTATATATAATATATTTGATGCAAAATAGATGCATCTTAAGACGACGAGGTAAAGATAGAACGAAGATGTCTTTAGGAAGATTTGTAATGTATAAGTTTTTATTCTAATTCCTTTGCTAAATTTACATACGTAGATGTGTAATGAGTTTGTCTTTATTGGTAGTAAACATCAAATTTAAATTGTCAATTCTTTCCTTCCTCGTGATCACTTTTTACTTCTAAAACTTATGCTTTCATTAGGAAGTTTTTTCATGCTTATATTAGGTTGTCAAATATCTCCCTTCCGCTTTTTTGCTCTTGGTTTATAATACAAAAAGGCGGAAGGAAGATATTTGACAACCTATTATTTTGTCTGCAATAACGATAATTGATATATGTTTTCTTATGTGTTATGATTTTAGTATGTTCTATAAGATCATAGTATCTATCGGTAAAAGACTTATCAAAATTGCCGAAAATTTTTTTTCAACAAGTTTTGTACAATGTACTAGTAGAGCGAACCTTTACCAAAAACTAATTATGTCGATTTACAACTAATATCATTCGTACGGTTTTTGAACTTTTAGAAACGATTCAGAATTGCGGGCTAAAACGTGGACGAAAAAAATTTTTACTTTTCTGATATTTATAAAGAAACGGCTTGGCTGATTGTCGCGCAAATCTGACAAACGCTAGTCCCGATGGAGATACATCGAATGGCTTTTAAATTTTTTAAAAGCCGTTTTTGAGAAAACGTCGATGAAAAGTCAAAAATCTGTTCATATATACACCCACACACTTTGTTCTTTCAAATTTAATCTCGATTCAGAATGGCTAGAAACGTCTAGTAAACATAAAATTATCAAATCGGATCAAGTATATTATGAGTTTGCAATAAACTATTGTATCTGCATCGATGATTTTTGCATTGAATTTTAGTATTTTTTTTATTAACTTCCCGTAGGGTAGTTATAGTAATGGGCCGAAAATCGAAAATGAAAATTTTTGCATTTCTCGACGTTTTGAAGGTTTCTGAACATATTGGCATACCTCAGAAAAAATGGATGTGTGTGTATGTGTGTGTGTGTGTTTTTTTTTATGTCCACATTTTGTCGTCCACGTTTTCGGGCGCACGGATCAACCGATTTGAATGGTTTAAAAAACATTCGATTCCTATTGATAGGGAGATGTGCTGATTAGTTTTTAGCAAAGGCAGGTCCAGCCGTTACGGAGATATGGAGCAAAGAGTGCAGAAAATAGAAATAGAGTTTTTGAGAGAACGGATCATCCGATTTGTATGATCCAAAAAACATTCAATTCGTAATGACGGGGAAATTCGTAATTTTCGTTGTTGGAAAAGGTAGGCCCAGCGGTTTCGGAGATACAGAGCTAAATGTTGAAAAAATGACAGTTTTTGAGAGAACTAAGCGTCCGATTTAAATGATTCAAAGAACTTTCTGCTTGTTTCAACAAAACAATTGCCTTTGGAAAAAAAAATTTTTTTTCAAGAAATATTTTTGTAATTTTGGATTAAAAATTCAAAAATTCAAAGGCTAAGCACAGTCTAGAACAATTACAGTATTTGTAATAATATATTTGAAAACGTTTAAAATTTCTCGAATATTTCATTACGGTACGGGAATTTCCAGCAATTTGCCTTAAGGCACGGCGCCATTCTCCATTAGTTTACCACTAGTTTATCATTAATTGATTAAACTTTCGGAACCTAATTATCCGTTCATATCATCATCATCTCGTCGGCATATTGTTTCCTTTCCTTTTCCAATTACACTACTGCAGCCACTCCCCCCTCGATAATTCCGGGTTAATAAGCCGATTTTCGGTCCACATGCGATTCCGGTATCACATCTGGACCGCAATAAAAAGCATCACATAATGGTTATTTGCTCTCTTCCTCCGTTCTTGTTGTTTTTTTTCTCGAGAAAAATCAGATGAAATTAAGGAAATGCCATAGCAGTAGAAGAATCATGGTTGTAATTAGAAATATACATGGTATAAGCAATTTATAATTTTGCACCCGTCGCATATGATTTTAATTGCTAAATAATCACTACCGAGTATATATATATATATATATATATATATATATATGAGATGTATTCCATCCTGCTCCACAGTTTTCCCATCGATTCCGCCTCCGGAGAATTGTTTTATGATCGCTTTTTATTGCCGGAACACAAACCGGAGCCGGCAGACCTGATATTTCTAATCACTTACAGGAAAATACAATGCGGAGGAGGGCAAAACGGGAAAATTGGGGAAATTGGGGATGAATGAATGGCGATTGTCTCGAAAACAACAATAGAATTGAACGCCACACCGGTTTCATCTTAATAAGTGGATTTTAATAGTTTGATCTAAATAACATCATCTTGCTACGTGTATTTTTATCTGAAATTTGGATAAACGACAGGAATATTTAAAATCTTTTGCAGATCAATTGCATTTAATTTTAGGATCTCTCTAGATTCTAAACAAATCCTTATTGCGTATTTATATTTATGAATAAGAGATTTTTAAATCGTCTTCTTACGTTGTTTCGACATATAATTCTATTAATTCTGCCTCATCAACCTCAGTGAGTAAGTGTAAACGCACCAATAAATGTATATATTTGTGTATAATTATAATATATATATATATATATATATATATATATATATATATCGTATTTAGATACAAGTTTCCATCCAAAATTAACAAATACATATGTATATAGTATATCCTTGCGTGGCGGATTTATTTCTTTGTAATTCCGCGAAATCTATAATTGTTAAAATTATCAATATATTGATGGAGTACTTACGAAGAAATTGATAATACCCAATTTAAAAATATACAAACAATTGTTATCGTAATTATGAGGTTATTGTCGTTATGATTCATTAAAAACATTGAAGCAAAATTTACAGAATATTATTATACTCGAAATATTGCATATTCAGTTTTTTGTCTAATTTTATGCATGTTTAAGAATTTTAGTATAATATTTATGAACTCGAAAATTTTTTAGAAACTCTCAGTCAACGAGGTAAACTCTCAAGTTCATAGTTCATAGTATCATAGTTCGATGGCAAATAAAAAATGTTATGAAATTGACTTTTTGACCTTGTGAATTACTAAGGTTAGTTTTCAAGATATCATAGATAAAAATCCCATAAGAATTATACAATTATATCATATAAACAAAATCTGTAAAAGTTTATAAAATTCGGAAATTTAAGATTGTAATATTCCGCAAAATGTTACAGAATTTCAGAATTCAAAGGGTTGTTCTTATAATATTTTTTATATGCCATCAAAGTTTCATACTCTAATTTTGCTAGTTTGATTCGTTCACTAACATCTACAAAATTTGCGATTCAACACCCAGTGTAGCAAATTTGCTCATACAATCAAAATTTATACAAATCTATAGAATTCGGCAAACTTAAAAATGCAATTAAACAAAATCTGTAAAAGTTTATAAAATTCGGAAAAGTTAAAAATGCAATTTATCGCAAATCTTTAAAGATATTTTAGTAATTTGAACGATTGTTCTTATAACATTTTTAATATGCCGTCGAACTGTGGTACTCTCGTTTTGCGAGTTCGACTCGTTCACTAAGGATTTAATTATAATTCTCCGAAGAACGATTCCATGATGTTGACAAACCACTATTTACCCAGTTCAAATAATAAAAATTAGCTAATGAAAAAATATATTTTTGTCTAATTATGTAACTAATATATGACACCCCATTGTGCGCCTATTTTTTTACAATTCCGCGAAGTCTGTAATTGTTACAATTATCAATTAATTGATTACATACGGAGAAAATGATAAAACTGAATTTAAAAAATACAAACATTCGTTATCATAATTGTGAGTTCATTGTCGTTATCAATCTTTACAGAAATAATCGCAAATTTTGCAAATGCAGCAGTTTCATTCCAGACGACTCTTAATTGCGTTCGGTTTCGCATTTATTACTAAATATTACAAATAATTTAAATAATTTACATCAGTGCATATGCACTATTATAAAACAAATTGTGTGAATACAAAGTGAATTTATTTGCTGTTTTATTTGCTGATAAAATTAAATAAAATAAACTGTGAATCATCCAAGATATGGATGTTTGTGAGAAATTATCTTCAGTAAGTATTGCAAAAAATTAATTTAAATTTGATTTTAAATGTATTGTATTCTTACTAATAAGCATTTATTTTATACGTTAAAAAATAAAATACTAATAAAGTGTAAATGTAGGGTAAGTTATTGTAATGGGCCGAAAATCAGAATTGAAAATTTTTACATTTCTCGACGTTTTGAAGGTTTCTGAACATTTTGGCATACTTCAGAAAAAATGCATGTGTGTGTGTGTGTGTGTCTATGTATGTATGGATACAATTTTTCGTCCACGTTTTTGGGCGTACGGATCAACCGATTTGAATGGTTCAAAAAACATTCGATTCCTATCGATAAGGAGATGTGCTGATTAGATTTTGGCAAAGGCAGGTCCAGCAGTTACGGAGATAAAGAGCAAAGAGTGCTGAAAATAGAAATAGAGTTTTTGAGAGAACGGAGCATCCGATTTGAATGATCTAAAAAACATTCAATTAGTAATGATTGGGAGAAGTGGTTATTAGTTTTTCGCATAGGCAGGCCCAGCCATTTCGAAAATACGAAGCTAAATGTACAGAAAATTGAAGTTTTTGAGAGAACTAAGCGTCCGATTTAATTGATTCAAAGAACTTTCTGCTTGTCTTAACAAAATAATTGATTTTGTAAAAAAATTTTGTTTCAACTTTTTTTTTTTTTTTAATATTTTGTATATCGAAAATAATTCAGATTTAATTTTAATTCTGACTATAGTTCTAATATACTTTACAACTAATTTCAACTTTGCAATTTAGTTTATATAATTCTTATAAATATTAGAAAATGTTACAATATTTATAATAATCTATTTGAAAACATTCAGTATTCCTCGAACATTTCGTTACGGTACGGGAAATTCCAGCAATTTGCCTTAAGGCACGATGCCACCCACCCCACTAGTTAATAATTATTTTAGTATAAATAAAGTTGATTGATAATCAAACTTACCTAAAAAACTTTCACCTTTCGATTCCGATGGTTTTTAACTTTTTGTTCTTACAATATAAGACTAAACTAGAGGTGCATGGCGTGCCTTAAGGCAAATTGCTAGAACTTTTCGTACCGATAATTAATATTTTTAACAGAGAATATTTAACTTTTTTATTGGACCTACCCAAAAATTTAATCACTTTTTCCTTCAGTAAATAAATGTAAAATGTTTTTCGAATCATTTAAACCAGATGCTCCGCACTTTGCACTTTTGCACTTTTGCCCTGCCTTTGTCAAAAAACTAACCAGCAAACTAAATATTTGTATAGAAGAAAGAACATTTATAAATTAAATCTATATAAATTCGCAATTCTTATACGATAACCCCTAATATCATAAATTCCTTTTTGCGTATGTGTATCACCTATACCTAAACCATACGTAAACCATACCTAATTTATTACATTTTACGTGGTTATACGCCTTATAACTACTATATCGTACGTTCCTTACACTTATATCTAAACCGCCTAACATTTATTATCTTACGCCTACAAATTCGCTTACATACTATTTTCACCCTTACCGGGAATCGAACCCCGGTCCGCCGCGTGACAGACTACGACCTTAACCACTACACCACCGTAACGTCACAACCAACCGTCTTTTTTCGCGTGTCGTCGCGTCACCTTAGTATTAATTACCTAATTAATTAGAAAATGAACCAAAGAAACAACAGCGTGTTCCATAATATATTTTCAGTGGGGCGACCCGTAGAGTAGTGGTTAAGATCCGTGACTGTCACGCAGAGGAACCGGGTTCAATCCCCGGTACAGGCAATAGATAGGTAGAGATAATACATAGGGCGTAAGGTAGAAATATAACACATTCATATTAAATAGGTATGTAGGGTGTCTGATATGTATATATATATACATATATATAAACACACACATATATATATATATATATATATATATATATATATATATATATATATATACGAGTATATATAATAAGTTAGCAAATAATAATCTAGCTGTAATAGATTATTTGTATGGATAGAGAAATTGATGGCATAGGTATCTCACGGTATAATAGATAATAGTTAAATTATCTATGATATATAATAGTATAGTATAATATAATAGTATGATAATAGTAAGATTATCATATCCCAAATTTAGTCTTATATTATAATAAGTTTTATATCATAATAAATAAGCGTAGGTATTAATAAAATTAATATCAAAATCAATTTATGTTATTAGTGGATATAAATTATGTACTCAATGATTTTCTTATACTTATGATTGATTAGCTTTTCACAATATTATTGCCCAAAGTCAAATTGGACCTTTGTGCCCCGCCCTATTATATATTTAACTTCCCGTAGGGCAAGTTATAGTAATTGCAAAAAATCGAGAATGAAAATTTTTATAAATCTACGTTTCAAAGGTTCTGAACATTTTGGCATACCTTAGAAAAAATGGATGTATGTGTGTGTGTGTGTGCATGTGTGTGTGCGTGTGTGTGTGTACGTGTGTGTGTGCGGAAAACAAATTTTCGTCGACGATTTCGGGAACACCGATCAACCGATTTAAATAATTCAAAAAACATTCGATTCATATTGATAAGGAGACGTGCTGACTAGGTTTTGGCGAAGGCAGGTCTAGCCGTTCCGAAGATACGGGGCAAAAAGTGCCAAAAACGGTAACTCAGTTTTTGAGAGAACGGAGCTTCCGATTTTAATAATTCAAAAATCATTTTACTTGTATTGACAAGATGAAGAACTGATAAAATTTTCATAAAGGCCGGTCTAGCGGTTTCGGAGATCTAATAAAAAAAAGTAAAAAAAAATCCATTTGGCGGTCAAAAATGATCATTAGACATAAGCACATCAAATTATCAGATATTTTATAGAAATTTTACCTTTATTTTATATTTTTCAGGCCCCAGTTCCAGAGATTAATGAGGTCTCAAGAGCAAATACTGACCCTACAATTATCGGCACTAAAAATGAACGTCTCGAAGAGTTCTGCAAACAGTTTGTCAATTTATCAGAACAAAAATTTTCGGCATTCAAAACAGAGGCGTCTGTCGGTGGCGAAGCAAAAACTGGTAAAACTTCAAAAATTGCACAGGGTGCAGCAAAAGGAGGGTTAACATTGATACCCTTCTGTGGCAAAATAATTAGCGAAATTGTTGGACAATTTATGAACTATCCGAGTGGTAAAGTTCATAGGCAGAAGGCTAAAAATGTTACCAAATTCCTAGCATCCATGTCTATAGAAGATTTGAGAGAAATTTTGATGCACACGTCTGGTACATTGTTTTGGTCATACGAGGCACAATTTTCTGAAATTTTGGACGCTGGTGGTAGTTGGCAAAGGGCTATGGAAAAGATTGCAACCGATGCAGTTGATAGATTTGTAAATTATATAACAAAATTAGGGAAGAACAAACCAGAATCTGATGTAGATATCTCGCTAAATAGTTTTGTGCAGGCTATCATTTCGGGAGCCTCCAAAAAGGAAATTGGTGACTTAAAGCCAGGACATACTGTCAGGTACCACGGACAAAAGTCGAATACTTCAGAATTATTTGAAAAGGTTGGTATTGTCGAGCACAAAGAAGAAAGTATCAAATTTTACAGAAAAAAACACTACGATAGTAAATTTGGCTTTAGGCGTTTACTTCCATGGGAATCTACTGATGACTTGGAAGTCATCAAAGATGGAACTATAGACGTTTACAATTACGAGTTGACCTCGGATAAAATTCATGGGGTGACACAAAAAATTTTGAAGAATATAAACGAAAACGATCCAAGATTTTGCAGTAAAAACGTGTGTGACATCAAAAGCAATTTGCAGGAAGTACATGGCAAAGTTGATGAGTTGAAAATCAATGATGAGACCACTCATAAAAAATTAGACGATATCCACATGACAGTAGAAGGTGTAAAAAAAGATTTGGAAGGTACCAAAGATAATGTAGACACAGTCGATAATAATTCTGCTGATTTTACAACCACTTGGTTTTCCTTCAACATGATTCGGAATGCCTTTAAGTTTATAGGCAGATCAAAAGAATTAGAAAATTTACATCAAATTTTACAAATTGATGATGAAACTTTGAAATCAAACATAGCAGTCGTGTCTGGTCTTGGTGGTGTTGGAAAATCAGCACTAATCAGAGAATATGTACGTAAATATAAAGATGAATACGAAAAAGTTGTCTGGATCGACGCAGAAACAATTGAACTTTTAACTGAATCATTTCTAGAACTTGCCAAAGTTGTGTTTGGTGAACAAATACATATCAGCAGACTTAGTTTGACAGAGCTGGTGTGTAAAATATATAAAAAAATATCAGCACACAAATGTCTATTTATTTTTGACCATGCACAAGCTTTAAAATCTGATCCTTTAAGAGTTGAAGACATTGAAGCCTATTTACCATTGAAGGCAGATTATAATCAAAACATTCACGTATTGGTGACATCTCGTTTACAAGATTGGATGGGATTAAAAGTTTTCACTTTGGAAGAATTTAAAAAAGATGAGTCTGGATGTTTTGTTAAAGATGCTTTAAATACTTTACACGACGACAAAATTGTATCAGTATTCACTGATATTTTGCAGCATTTGCCTTTGGCTTTGCGACAAGCAACAGTCTACATAAATAAAAAAGATGAGGTGTACCAGAATAGAGGATGCAATTTTGGTATTGAGGATTACATCCGTCGATACAAAAGCCAGAAAAAAGATTTGCTGGATTACAAGTTTTATAAATACACCATGGACAAGTATAAACAAACAGTTTACACAACTTGGAAAATAACAATGGAAAAGATCGAGAAAACCAAGTACGGCGCATTGTCTTCTAACATTTTGCAATGGACTGCTTTTCTGGGTTCAGACAATGTACTTTTATCAATATTTACCAAAAATGCTGATACGGTTCAACAAATTGAATTTGCAGAAGCACTCACATTGCTGAAGCAATATTCCATGGTAAGAACAGTCAAACCAAAAATATCATTCACAATTCCCAGATTGGTGCACGAAGTCATCAGAATCGATATGCAAATAAAAAACCAGACTGAAACAATGATGATTAGTTTGTTCGAAATTCTGCAAAGATTCTTCTCCTCGTATTATATTTCAGAAAAAGAAGAACAACGAGAAGGTTTGGTGTTGGCATCTCATTTAGAGATATTTCTGAAGCACGTCGACAATTTGAACGATGATTTTGAACAAAAGTTAAAATACCAAAGCAAGTTGTTACTTTGGTTGGCCGATGAATTGTTGTTTTCACTAAAATTCACCAACGATCAGAAACTACTTCAAATCATGGATAGAATTCTAAATCTGCCTGTTGATTACGACGAGAATGATTTATTGATTTTGGATCGTCTACCTGATGCTTTTTCTGAACAAAGTGAAGATCCAAAACGCAGAAAATTTTTAGAACTTTGCTATGTTCACAAACAACGTATTTTTGGAGAATCTTGTTTATATCTGATCAAAACTTTGGAGCAAATATGTATTTTGCCTAACACTACAGACCAGGATCGCAAAGATAAACTAGAAATGATATTAAAAATTTTGGAACACAACTCGGAGAAGAATTCTATGAAACTTCTGCCAGTTCTCCTAAAATTAGTAAGACTGGCCAGAGGAAATTTAGCAGAAATGGATATATTGGCTTCTAGAATTTTAGATTTGGTTAATGATGGTCATGAGAAGAACAAGGAAGTCGTTCTAGCTCTGGAAGAGTTGAAGGAAATATATAAATTACATTCAGACAGTCAGATAAATCACAAATTAAAGGTAATGGTGTAAGAAATTCAAGTTTATATTTCTAATTTTATTTTAATATTCAATAATTCATATTGTCATTATATCAGCTTTACAATAATAAATATTATTTGTAATTACGTTTTTATTTATAACTTCTTGATCATTGCAGTTGATGATACAAATTATAGCACGAAACGTGTAATAAATCAAATTATTATCACTTGTACTTTTTGGCATATTGGTAAAGGTAAATTAAAGTCATTTCTAAATTATTTAAGATTGTCTTTCATAAAAATTTATTATTTGAAGGATGTATTTCTGCAAGACAACCCAATGGTTGACCATTCTCTTTCTGACAAGATTATCATTAGATAAAATTTTAACAAGAGCATGAATATATATTACAGCAATTTAAAATCACAAGTACAAATTTAAACTAGTGGGGCGCATAGCATTGTGCCTTAAGGCAAATTGCTGGAACTTTCCGTACCAAAAACGATTTTTTTAAAAGGGTTAACATTTTCGAAAAAAATTTACTCTGAAAAAATTAGATTTTTGAGAAACCATAAATTTTTGACAAAAATTTACATTTTTTTGAAAAAAAGACTTCGAAGAAAAATTTATTTTGAAATATTTTGGAAATTCTGAACTTTTTTTCAAAGCAATCGTACAGCTTTAACTGCATAGAGACGAAATATTGAAGCGCGTAAGCGCCGCGTCGCTGTCTAACGGATAAACACTGGTACGGAACCCATAGGAATGTGAACAAAATTTATACTTATTGTTAAAATCTCTGTAATATATCTGATAATTTAATGTGCATATGTCTAATGACATTTTTGACCGCCAAATAACATTTTTTTTTACTTTTTTTTACTAGATCTCCGAAACCGCTAGACCTGCCTTCATGAAAACTTGTTCAGTCTTCATCTTGTTAATACAAGTGAAATGTTTTTTGAATTATTAAAATCGGACACTCCGTTCTCTTAAAAAATGAGTTACCGTTTTTGGCATTTTTGCCCCATATCTTCGGAACGGCTAGACTTACCTTGGCCAAAAACTAATGAGTACGTCTCCTCATCAATACGAAACGAATGTTTTTTCAATTATTCAAATCGGTTGTTCGGTGTTCCCGAAATCGTCAACGAAAATTTGTATCCGCACACACTCACACGCACACACACATACATCCATTTTTTCTAAGGTATGCCAAAATATTCAGAAACCTTTGAAACGTAAAGATACATAAAAATTTTCCTTTTCGATTTTTTTACGTTTACTATAACTTGCCCTACGGGAAGTTAATAAACCGAATATAAATAATAAAGTCAGTGAGTTATCTTATTTAAACATAAACTTAATCTTATAAATGAAATTAAATATTTCCGAATGAAAACATTTCGTCGGCAACGAAATTATAAACATGGACGACGACGGCCGTTGTTTAAATCCGATAATATGACGACATCGGATGAAATTACTAATTATAAATAAAACAAAATTCCGTATAATATTTCTGACTGACTAATAACAAGATAAGAAAATCATTTCCAGGGCTGGGTAATTACATTATCTTTTACACAAACTCAACACTTGAACTTTTAAATTTTTTTAAAGATTTCTATAATAATTATTCCGTCATGAAAAGTAGCATTTGGTAATTTAATAAACATCAATTTAATATTTTTTCGTCAATTCATTTTTAATTCATTTTTAAGCAACTGCACTTGCAACTTTGAAGCAATTCTAAAAACTTATGTAACTTCAACTGCGTTCAGCAAATTAAACATTTTTAAGCAATTCAAAACACTCTTACACAATTCTGAAGACCTATATAATTTTAAATTCATTTACACAATATTAAACCCTTTAACATAATTCTAAATCCTTAGAACATATATATGTGTAAAGTTCATTAATCATACAAAAACATATTTAGTCAAAAATAAGTGAAAATTTTAGCAGTACAAATCTGAACTAGTGGTGTATGGCGTCGTGCCTTAAGGCAAATTGCTGGAACTTGCCGTACCGTAATGAAATATTCGAGAAATTTTAAACGTTTTCAAATATATATATTATTACATATACTGTAACTTTCATTGTTTTTGCTATCTTGTTATATCTGAGCAAATCAAATGTAAATCATATATCAATTTATCTCCAATTCGTCATTTAATTTCGAATTTAATTTTAAAAAAAAAGTTGCCTAATTTGCACACAGTTGAAAAAGTGCTCCGATATAGTCACAGTCTAATTTGCAAATAATTCTGTGCGACATTTTCACTTATACTGTGCTTAGCTTGGCGGCATTTCCGCATTTTTCAATAGTTTTCACAAAATTAGAAAAGTGTCCCAGTACTTAAACAGTCTAAACGCACTTGGGTAAACATTTGTACCAGAGTGGCGCTTAGACTGTGCTTAGCCTGGGTAATTTTTTGAATTTTTAATCCAAAATTACAAAAATATTTTATGAAAAATAAAAAAAGATGTAATAATTTTTTATTCTCAAAAGCAATTGTTTTGTCAATACAAGCAAAAAGTTTATTAGATCATTCAAATCGGACGCTTAGTTCACTCAAAAACTGACATTTTTTGCACATTTAGCTCTGTATCTTCGAAATGGCAGGACCTGTCTTTGCCAAAAACTAATCACATCTTCTCCCAATCATTACAAATTGAATGTTTTTTAGATCATTCAAATCCGATACACCGTTCTCTCAAAAACTCGATTTATATTTTCTGCACTTTTTACTCCGTATGTCCGTAACGTCTGGACCTTGCCAAAAACTAATTAGCACATCGCCCTATCAATAGGGATCGAATGCTTTTTAAACCATTCAAATCGGTTGATCCGTGCGCCCGAAAACGTGGACGAAAAAATGGGGACATATAAAACATACACACACACACATCCATTTTTTCTGAGGTATGCCAAAATGTTCAGAAAGCTTCAAAACGTCGAGAAATGCAAAAATTTTCATTTTCGATTTTCGGCCCATTACTATAACTACCCTACGGGAAGTTAAAAAACAGTTGGAATTTTTTTGGTCTCATTGGAAAAGTTCTTAAACAATTAATGGATATCGGAAAAATTATGCAACTTGCCTTAAGGCAAAATGTCACTCATACTCAGATGTCATATAAATACTTCATATACAATGATATTAAGTACAAAACCCTGGACAATACCATTGTCCACAAAAATTTCTTCATATCAGGTTGTGCATCAGTGGCACGTAGACGTACTTTTAGAATTATTGACTAGATTATATTTATTCCTCAAGTATTATAATTTACAAATGTTACTATTAACACCACTAATCTTGTTATTACTATCGACATCGAGTGCATTTTCTCAATACTTCCACGACTTTTCCGATGTGTCGATTTCTCGGCCAAAAGACGACGTGGTTTTCGTGTATCAAAGAAGCCAAGAAGAGAAGGTGAAATTTTTAAAAAGGGAATTTTCCGATGAAAATCGAGCTGCCGAAATTTATTCCGATGACTATACCAAGGAAGATGATAAGGGTTTGAAGATGATACCGCCTAGTGTTATAGATGTGCCCACGAATTGCCCTGAGGGCCAAAAAGTTGACAGTAGTGGAACTTGTAGACCCATTTGGTGACCCTAAAGGTGATTAAAATAAAAATAATGTTTTGTAAAAAAAATGAGATAATGGGAATAAATTTTATATTTACTTGATTTGGTGTTTATATTGTTTTCTTTAAATTTATGTGAAAATTATAAGATATAATTATATATATGGGGAATCAAGCAGGCTAGACATGGTGGAAAAACAAAAATGATTTTTTGTTATTTTTATATATCATAAAATTTTGTAATTAATAAGTTGTTTATATTTTCATCCAATGGATTTTATATTTTTATGTTCATAACTTTTTTCTACATATATAATTATATTATAAGCTTATAAGATACCAATGTTAAAAGAAAAATACTTGGACTTGGAGAAAATGTACTTTATAGTCAAATATTTGTTTTAGAAAGCTGTTATTTTAGTATGCTATATTCATATATGTCTGTTATAAAGACAAATACTAAAATTGATGTGTCTTCTCATAAATTTGGGAGTCACAAGTGATTTTACACAATTGCAATCAATATTAGTGCCATGTACTTCACGAATTTTAGCTAAATAAAAATATTTTTTAATAGTAGCATTTGTACTAAAACAATGTAATTAACTTCCCGTAGGGTAAGTTATTGTAATCGTCCAAAAATCGAAATTGAAATTTTTTACATTTCTCGACGTTCTGAAGGTTTCTGAACATTTTGGCACAACTCAGAAAAAAATGGATGTGTGTGTGTGTATGTATGTATGGATACAATTTTTCGTCCACGTTTTCGGGCGCACAAGTCAACCGATTTGAAAGGTTTAAAAAACATTCGATTCCTATTGATAGGGAGATGTGCTGATTAGTTTTTGGCAAAGGCAGGTTCAGCCATTACGGAGATACAGAGCTAAATGTGCAAAAAATGGCAGTTTTGGAGTGAACTAAGAGTGGCGCTTAGACTGTGCTTAGCCGGGGCAATTTTTAGAATATTTAATCATTACAAAAATATTTTATGAAAAATAAAAACAATGTAATATTTTTTTATCCTTAAAAGCCATGTTTTGTCTTGCTTAAGCGTCCGATTTGAATAAACTTGTAAATACGTGGAATATCTTATCACTATCACATATGAGACAACTTGTTCATAAAATTGCTAATTGTCTTTTATTTACGGCAGAAATGTTTCAATTTTAATATTTTTTGTCTAAGTAGACACATCAGAGTGTAACATATTTAAGCTTTAGCATTCTAATACTATATTTGTATTTGTGAAAATAAATTCAATATTGAACTTGTAAATTTAGTATATTTCATCAATGTCACTGGCAATTTTAAGTACTTTGTTCATAAAATGTCTAATATGAATTGTTTGTAATAGAAATGCATCGATTTTAATATTTGCTGTCAAAGTTAACACATTGACGACTATGCTGACAAAATTTTACCATTTTTTTAGAACTTGTAAG